TAAAGCTTAGCTTTAGAAAAAAATAATATTACTATAATATAAATCTAATATATTTACTTTATTTGATTAATTTATTATATTTTTTTAATTAATAATCTTATTATTTTTTAATTATTTTATATATAATATATAAAAATTTTTAATTTTTTATTTATTTCTTATTTTATTTATAATTTTTTAAGCTATATCTTATCTATAAATTTAAAAATAACCTAATCTAATAGCTAGTAAAAAATCTAAAAAGACTATTATAAAGATCCTCCCAGCTTGTGCTATTATTCCTACCATACAGCCAGACTAAGAACCAGACACCAGCCCGCTCCTTGACAATAAGACTTTTATAATAATTAATATTAATTTTAAATTTTTATTTAATTATAAGCTGCTAATCTTTAAAAATAATTTTTTTTATTATTAAATATTAGAAAATTAAAAAATTTGATAATCTTTCTAAAAATTAAGACTTCTTAGTTTATACTAGCTATTAAAATTAATATAATATTTTATTATATTTTAGCCTAAATTATTTTATTTTTTAAAATATTTCTTTTTATTTTTAATAAATTAATATTATAAAATAGGGCTTTTTAATTAATCTTTAATTAAACTAGGCTTTTTTTTAGCTTATTTATCTTAATTAATAGATTATTAATCTTTTTTTTTTAAATTTATTATAGATTTTTAATATTAATTTGAAAATATATATAAAACTTTTCTTATAAAGATTATAAAATTCTTTAAATATAATATTCTTTTTAAAAATCTTATTAATTCTATTTATAAATAAGATTAATTTTTATATTTTCTTTTAAATAACTTGGTCTTTAATATATTTTATACTATTATAATTATTTTTAATATTTTAGTTTTAATACTAGTTAATTTAAAATTTAGCTTATTTTAAAATCTAATTTTTATTTATTAATTTTATACAGTTTATAAACTATAGTAATAAATAATTTTTTTAATTTTAATAATAATTTAATTATATATTAGAATTTAAATTAAATTTTTTTTATTCTTCAGTTATTATACAGTCTATAGCTATAGTAATAGAAATTTAATTAGAATTTATAATCTTAAATTTATATTTTTTTAAATAGATATTTTTTAAGATTGACTATTATTACCATCGACTTATATAAATAAAAAAAGACTTCTTAATAATACTAAAAATATATATTTTTATATATTTTAGTTCTAAAAAGCTTTAAAAAATAAAAATAAAAAAAATAATACTTCAGATTATATAACAGCCGATTAAACCAACTAAATCTTTTTAATATAATATCATTTAAATAAAATCTTAAATATAAGAAAAAAAATAGCTATATTTTCTGCAGTATTATATTATCTAGATGTAATATAAATAAAGCAAAAAGATTGAATAGATTAAACTAGTTCTAATCTGCTACTCTGTATAGATACCTTCCGCATGGCTCTTATAATTATACTAATAACCAATTTTTAAAAAGCTAAATTCTATTAAAAATATTAGAATTTTCTTATTATTTTATAAAAATATAAATAATAAGAATATTATTTCTTTTAAATTATTTTTATTTTATTTAAAAAACTTTTTTTATATATCTTTTAATAATAATTTAAATAGTTAGATTAATAACTGCTTAATCTAGGTATATCTTAATTATACTAAGATTAAAAAAATAATAAATAGATTTTAATATTAAAAATAATTAAAATAATTAATTATATAGTTTTTAGCTATATTATAGTTAGATATAAAAATTTTCTTAATCTAACTATAATCTAGCGGTCAGATATAAAAATTATAATTAACCTAACCTGACCTGGCTGTTAGCCACTCTATCTAGTTCTAAAGATTAATTACAGAGAAAATGAGCTATACAGCTTAATACCAATTTCTATTTAAATATTTTAATAATTAAAAGATATTTCTAATTTTTAAAAATTAAAAGTTTTTATTTAAAATAATATAAAATATATCAACAGATCTCTTATATATATAAGATATATTAGTTGAGTTATTAGTATTCTAAAAATCATCTTTTATGTGGGATTACAGGGTGATCCGTTGGCTTGCGTGATCCATCCGCTTACCGATTACGTTATAGGCTGCTGTAGTAGTAGGTATTGTATAATATAGATATAAAAATTCTAATTAATCTGATCTGACCTGGCCGTTAGCCACTCTAGGCCTACTGGGAATTAGAAGAAGTAGAAAAGATACTACAAATAATATAGATTGAATAAATATAAGATTTCTTGATGAAATATTAATAAGGTTAACACTCTAGAGAAAGAAAGAATAACAAACAAGAAGAGGACTTATAATTTAAAGAGAATATAAAAAGAAATAGATTTCAGCTATCTGAGCACCAATCTAGACTACCGGCCGAAGGCGGTGAGCTGCCCAGCCAATGGGAGGCCAGGCCCTCCACACAATGATGAGTTATTTGTCCTGAATGAATAGTATGGCTACATTTGCGACAAATAAGTAGATGCAAATCGTGGTTGGCATTGAACTGGCTGCAGCGGGCTCGTGGTTATGGTTTGCTCACATCCTGACCTAGAGAACATAGTAGTAGTGTACTTTTGCCACCCTGCCCTTACTATGCAATCTACTCACATTCAAACTTGGCTTAATGGGGTTGAAATTTATTGAGACAATGGATGATGGAGAACCAAACCTACCCCTGAATCTTCGAACAAAAGACTCTCGTTTATACTTGCACCCTACTGTGTGTTTTGACGTTGATTACTTTGATGGATGTGAGTCACTGCGGGATGGCTGCATCCCATCCAAAATAACTCGACAACTTTGCCTGGGGTAAACTACAACTCTGAATTGCTCAGTACACTTGAGACTCATATTTGCAACAAAGAAAGTGATGGCGAAAGCAATTTCAAACTTTGGTGGCTCTACGACATCTGGACAGCCTGGCACTTAGGGTGCAAAGACAGAATGCACTCAGTGCTCGCTCCACTTTTCTTAACTACGGGGACCCATTTCCACCTATCAATTGCATCGAGGTTCAATGTAAAAACCCCCATGGGTTCGAATCGGACCGAGAAGTGGAGGGCGGACAGGGCATTAGTATGGCATTGAACTTAGAGCGCTAGCCCATAGTTGGACGACTTGCAACTGCCGCGCCGATGATGGGACCGACCCAGAGTTGGATCACCTCAGTTGCAGATGGAGACAAAAGTCATCGCAATTCCTCGATTTCCTGGAGACCACATATCGCCCAGCGCAGCAGGAACACTGCTTATTGAAAACGCAAGTATGCCTTCAAGGAATCTTGTCAAGAGTATACCAGCAGTGTTCTTGCTAACGGCCATTCCGATGCTGAGGCAGCCCATTATCGCAAAGGCAGGTATCATTTCAACTTGGCGACCATAAACCCCACTGATTGGAGCCCAAAGTAAGGGCCCAAGCGCACACTCAGTCCTACTGCAGCAGCCTGTGTAAAAGAAAACAGCAAATGAGAAACTTGCGTAATTCTAGAACTTCAAGCACTCAAGTGAAAGAATACCCAGGACGAACAAAGCTACAGTCAGTGAGGTGACCTCTGCCTGAAATCCTGTATTTTGTGCAATTTCCGCATCGGCTGAGGATAAGATCAATGAGCCTAAAGCCCCCCGCCAATGCCAGAAGGCTCATTTGAGCGGTCAGCCAGAAGACTTTTAACGCCGGATGAACATTTTCCTGGTCCAATTTCTCCCCTGATTCGAAAGAGACTAGGATTCTTGTTTCTTGAAATTGTGAGGCAACCTGAAGGGCAGGCAGAGTGTGAGAGAGCGAGGGGTTGACGTAAGCTATTAACAGACAATGCTGGTTCCATCATTGGAGAACTGGAAACATCGCTTGGAGGCCGCATGCGAGATGTCATATTAACCTGATTCACACCAGGCGAAATGAGGAATTATGTTGAGTAATGGAGAGCAGTCAGTTGCCCGGTCTAGCCTTTGAGTGGGTCATTATGTCAGTCCTATTAGGGTTACCTTGTAAGGCTGCACGAAAGCTCGCACGGCTTCAAGGTCCCCATACCACTTTCGTACGGAAAGAAAAGACTCCAAAGTCTAATCTCATGTCTCACTTTAGAGGCAAACCGCTGAATGGCGTGACATTGGCCAAGACTGTTACCTCATTGGGATTCAACACAGGTAGACCGCATTTTAGAAGGTTGAGTGTTGCAAGCCATTGAAGCAAGTCGAAGTCCCTATATGTAGAGTTTGCAGCCCAGAGTTAATGTAGATGACTGTCAACAGAGTATTAAGCTCGTAAAGCCTTCTTATGACCGCCAAAAGGTGCATTAAAATATCTCTTGTTGCCGTTTTCATGATTGTAACCTTCATTCATTGAGTAAGCCAGCGCCTACTAAGATTGGCACGTGCTTTCCGACTAGGTTAGATTGCGGAATAAGAAAAAAGAAACAAAAAACCATGACTTCGCTGGTGCATCGAGCAGCCCGTCGGCGCATCCGATGCCTTATCGTCCGTGGAGAACTTTAACCTTAATTCTCACTGTATACAGATGGGTCAAGATGGGCCTCAGCACCATGGGTTGGCAAGGCTGAGGAATGACCGAGTTTGCAGGGTCTGAGCGTTGGTCTTTCGGAGTTGAATTTCCCGTCACATCGATGCTTCCTGCCCATGCCTTGACTCATGGCAACATGTCCAAGTACCGTGCCGATTTTCCATTGCGTGCAGCGGCGCAGTCCTCCTTGCCTAGGCTAACGCAGCATAAATAAAATAACCTTGTCGGGAACCCCCATATGATTGAGCAAAGAAGTAAACTCGGCTTGAAATCCTCGGTTTAGTTTCTCTTTTCGAAGCAATTAATATGAAGCCCTGTCTCTATGCTACCACACTAGTTCTTTTCAGGTACTTGATCCATGTGGCTAGTGGCAGGCTGTACCTTGTAAAACGGTATTCTTTCAAGTTTGGCCCCCTCAGAGCTTTTAAGGAGACCCAGGGGAGGTTGCCACCCAACTAAACAAGTCTTCCATTCTTTTTATTGTCAGAATTCAGCGAGGAACTGACCAAGGAATCCGCAAAGACTAAGGCTTAGGTGCTGTCGCAGGTACTTAAGAGCAAGCCTGGATCTCTTTCTCAGGATTTGAAACCAAGCCTTAATCCACTGATCATGCTGGACAATAGCCAGAAGCCCTCCACCGCCGTCATGGCGCTCGATAGGCCCGACGTTCTGACCAGCAAAGCACCCCCAGCTGCCCGGCGCTGGTGGCACTGGCATGAGCCAGGTACAACCAAAGAGGAGAAGTGGCTCATATTCAAGCTTGACTTCTTCATCCTGCTTTACTCTTGTCTAGTATGCCTCTTCTTTTAACGCCTCCCTGTTTCTGGCTTCAAAATCCCTAGCTAATATAACCGACCATCAATAGACTTTTTTCATCAAATATCTGGTACGAGTCCCGCGAAAAACCCTGACATCGCCACACAGTTGACGAGGATCCACGATACCACTCAAGTTACGGCGGCTGTCTGACCCGGCTTCTAGGATCAAACTAATGTGACTAATGCCTATGTCTCCGGGATGAAAGAAGATTTAAGCCTCGGTGAGTGTATATGGTCCAGGTGAGGTTCCAAGCTAAACTTCGTTACACTCTCCAGGTGGTAGCGATCTTAACTGGCTTACTACCTACTTCAACATTGGTATCATGGTTGGTGGTCCATTCATTACGATGGCGCTCACAGTAACCAAGCCACGTTACCTGCTTCCGACATGCACCGTCATATGGTCATTCTTTGTCTTGTTTATGTACAAGGTACAGGATATCAAAACGCTCTATATCCTACGGTAGGTCTCGTTGTCCAGTGTAGGCTTCAGGAACTTCCCGCTAATGCGTCACATTCACCATCAGCTTTTTCGCAGGCCTATTCGAGTCGGGCGCCATGCCCGGCGCTTTCTACATGGTAAAGTTCACACGATCATATCATTTCAATTGCTCCATGATTGACTTGGATCACAGATTGGAAGCTGGTATCGCTCTACCGAGATTAGCCGACGGTCGGCATTCTACTGGTTTGCTTCTATCGGTGGTGGAATGTTTTCAGGTTATATCCAGGCTGGACTGTAAGTGATCATGGACATGCGCTGGATGCAAACTCATTCCTACGCAGATATGAGAATATGAACGGTAAGCTCGGATTAGCCTCTTGGCGTTGGGTATTCATATTCGATTTTATCATTGGCCTTCCAATTGCAATCTTTGGGTTCTTCTGCTGTCCAGGTAAGTTATCTTGTCGACTGAGGAATTTTAATGGAGCCATAATGACCCGCGAAATCGAAAATTCTAGACGAGCCGACCGGTGAGCGACCGTGGTGGATGACGGAACGAGAGCAAGCGATGTCTATCAAACGAATCGACGATGAGAACCGAGATGTATCTGTGATGCAATGGAACTCGGGAACAGTCAAGAGAATCCTCAGCTCTTGGCAGTTCTATGCATTTGTCTTGTCTTGGGGGTCAGTTTCTTGGATTGTCTGCCCTCAACCTCTGTCTTGTGCACAATGCTGACCATGTTCCATATCAGCTTCATGGAATGTACATGTGGAGTCAATCTGCAACGTTGGATGACTTTATATTTGCAGTCTCTCAAAGTTGACGGACGTCCACGCTATTCTAATCAGAAAATCAACAGTCTGCCAACAGTGATCGGTTGCGTCGTAAGTCTCAGACCTAGAAGGACGATGCCGTGCCTCCAGACTAATACTCATATTTGGCAAAGGAGCTGGCGTGGCTATTAATAAGTTCAACATTGGCAGACTTTTTGAATGTCCGCGCACCTATTATTGCCTTCCTAGGACTAGCTCAACTCACCGCTTACGTTGTATTCTACGTCTGGTCTGAAAATGTGCCGCTGATGATGGGCATGTACTACTTGTGCAGCGCTTATGGCGCCGTTTCGCCCTTGATCAGCGCGTGGCTGAATTCATCTTGTGGGGGTGATAGGCAACTTCGTGCCTTGACAACTTCACTCATGATCTCTATTGGCTAGTAAGCCTAATCCCTGACAACCAGATAGTGTGGCTAGTGACAATACTGATATGCTTTACCAGTGCCGTCGAAACTGTCTCTCAGCAGTTCATGTTCCCAACTTCAGAGGCCCCACGGTTTGAGAGAACCCATGGCTACGCATTTGGGATTGGTTGGGTCATCGTTATGATTGTTTGGTGTGGACTTCTGTTACCATTGGTTGAACGGCATTTCTCCAAACGTCGCCTAGCCCACCCAGGCAGCTGCTAGATCGAGGATCCTAGTTTTGCATGGTTTTTATGGTAGAGCAAAACGATTCAAATTTCATCACCGACATATTGTCGCTGAAAAAGGTACATGACATGACGAATTTCCTTCGTCGTCCCAGCAAGGCGATGGCATTTCATCAACTCTGAACCTTACAACAACCAGGTTGCGAAAGCTCACTTCTCATATTCGATACACAGACCAAATTGTGAAAGTTTGTTCCATTCGGAAGACTATTTTACGGGACTACGATGTTCTGACATGTATTCTCATCTTAATATACTTCAAGGACTTAAATTCACTGCAAATGGGCAAATAAGTATGTAGGTTGTGCTAGGATGTCCTACCACAGATTGGAAAGCCGTGGCATTATGCCTCTGGCGAGAAAGGACAATGCTGCACCAATGTGCAATCTTGCAAGTACTTTTATGCTAGAGCCTGGTGAAACCCTATTCACTTTGTGGGCTAGGCTGTAGGCAAGCCATGTTTGCAAATCTACCTATGAACATATCGCAATCTCTTCGAACCACACTTTAAATATCTCCAGTCACCATCAAGCTCTGGTCGTATAAAGCAACTGTCATGGTCTTTAATACTCACGCGGAACGAGGTTGCAGCCTAGAAACTCGTTTATGTCTGTTCAATTAATCCACGTCAGGTTAGAAAGCACGCCAATCGGCCAGTAATGAGTTAAGGTGACAGAGAAGGGAGGAGGGAGAAGATCTCTGATTATAGTCAAGGGAATTATAGTCTAAGGACATTCATTATCCGTTTTATCCATATTCAATCTATGCCACTTCCCCCTTTTGCTGAACTTCAGCACTGACAGCGGATGATCAAGCTCAAAATTTGGTCCTTTGCATTGGAAGCAAATTCTGGTGGAGGATTTTGGCGGCTAGATTTGCATGATGCTCTTCAACCACGCATCCTGCAATTCTGTCAACTGCATCTAGATGATACCGATGCATCAGTAAGTCAAATTATGCGTTCTCGGCTTTGAAAGGAAGTATACGCGCGTTCGAGCCTTCTACATACCGTGCATCACCATGAATATCGGAATTTTCAAATCGATCAAAACTTGGAGAGCGGAATGTAGCGCAAAATATGTAGACTCTGCGAGGCGGCAAACAACGCACAGTAAAGCCACACGATAGTTCACGTCAACCGCGGTGGAGTTTGCCTGAAGTGCTTCAATGGCTCGCCACAATCTTGCTTCAGCTAGCTGGTCGGCATCAAACCCTTCATTTTCTGCTTGACAGACAGCCATTGAGAGTCCAAATGCGCTTGTTGTAAGAATTTCCCCATTCAAATGAAACTTCCGAAGGGTTTCCAAAACCTGAATAATGCTGCAAATTCCGGAGGTTCAAAGTTGCTATATAGCGTTTTATAGTAATTGCCATGAACTGCGTTTCCGGGTCTCCCACACCTTGAGTGACGAGTGTACCCGGATTCAATGGTTTGGAAACATTGCGAACAGACAGCATAAGATTTTGGTCCCTCGCCACGTCAACTGCAGCGGTGTGTACCACCTGGGATCCGTACGATGTCAAGCCTTTGAGCTCAGATAACGTCAGATGACTTAATAGAGTTGCATCTGGAACGTGATGTGGATCGGCTGTGAAAACGCCGTCGAATTCTTTCCAGATTTGTAGCTGCGTAGCTTCCAGACCGGTAGCCACCAAAGCAGCGCACAGATCTGTATACCCACGCCCAACATGAGCAAGTAAAGCTCCAGCGGGCTGAAGTTCAAAATACCCGGTGATGATAGGAATTCCGGAGACAGACAAGATCTTTTCCGAGACCTCGGTAGCAACCCTGCCCACAAAGGCTTCATCGTTCCAATCGATTGGAGATGACAGCGCAAGGTTCAAATTACTTACGTCCACAAAACTTGCTTGAAGTCCGATATCTTGCAATATTGCGACGAGGTAATGACAGCTTAATCTCTCGCCGGCGCTGACCACTCTGCCAACACACGCTGGGCCGACTTCACCTAAAAAGTAGGCTGCATTCAGTGTCTTAATCACTGACGCACACTCGTATCGAATTCGTTTGATCAACTCCTCTCGGATGCTGAGGGACTGAATGTCTCTCATGGCTGCTTGGACATGTTCGAGCTGCATACCATCAATGAATCGAGAGAAGCTAGCGCCATCCGTTTGAAGCTCACTACAAGCTAGAAAAAGCCTGATTGTTATGCATTAGTGGGATTTCGGAGCACCTGAATCCTCGACAACATCGACTTACCTGTTTGTCGTACCATTCTCCTTTGTTGAACGGCTGATGGCTGAACAAACGACCGCGACTCTATGTTCTTGTGCTCCGGGTCTTTCAATGGTAAGGAACTAGATTGACTCTGCATTGGAGCGTCACACATACCGAATAATGTCTTTCGCGATGTTGGTTGCAAAGTGGCCGAGGCTTGTTCCGCCAAGCTTTTGAACAACCCAACGTTCAGATTTCAATGTATTCTGTTTTTCCTGTCCAGCTAGATCATTGGTTTGTACAAACATGTCAGGCTGGAGGTGGCTTGTCTCCAGAGGAACAAACTGAGACATATTTAGTATGCAATGCTGAAGGCCTTTGTGTATCAGATCATGTGTGACGAGCTTTATGAAAGTTTTGGGAATTCTTCAGATGTTAACTTTATGTCGCCTCGCATGTGACGGGATGGTCCGCATCTTTACATACGAAAGTGGAACCATTATAGCACATGTAGACTAGTGAAAATCATGTATGCTTTGAACATAGATACACGATTTATTCGATCATACAGAACAGAGAGTGTATTGAGTTTTGCATATACACGAAGTCTGATTGTCATAGGGATGGAGACAACCTTGCTGACGATCCTTCGCGCATGTCTGTCTCATCCGCCCCCTCCCAGAGTCCTCCCAGTATACTGAGGGATTTTTGCCTGATCTGCCAAGTATATGAGGAGTACCTTGTGTAAAATTAATTTTTGTAGTGGAAACGACCATACCTGCAAGCTATTCTCGAAATATGAGGCCTAGTTCGGTCTGGAGCACAAGCCCTCACTCTCAATTACCCACAGGGTCCACTGATATGCGTGTGTGAATAATATCAGTGACACCTAAGAGCATAGTAGCGCTTCGCAAGGTTACTGATGCAGCTGAATTGCTCTTCTCAATTAGTAACGCATGAATTCAGTCTGTGTCATCAAAATTGCCACCGATGATACTTGCATGTCAAGATCACTTTCGCGCACCACGCTTCCTGTATGAGAAAGAAACTGTCGAATTACTCAATGATCCGTAAATTGACCCAGTCCAGCCTAGCTTGATTACATAGGATCGCAGTCTGTTTTGCGAGAGATGAAAATCTTTGATCCTTGAGGGTCCGTTCTAAAACTCGCAGTGCTCCATCTTGTTCTGTCGCACATCACCATCCATCGATCTTTCAAGCATCCTGCTGCCTTTCTCATTGATCTGACTGCAGGTCACAAGCCCTTGAAGATGGTTTCATTTATCGATCAAGGTATCGCCCTGGAAACTCGCTCAGTGAAGGCCGTTCTAATCGAATTGCAGGCGGAGATGTGGCAGCAGTGCACACTAAACAACGCCGTCTTCAGAATCGGAGCATAATGCAGATTCCGAATCTCAGTCTTGAGTTCGGAGGGTCTTTGAAGAATGTGCCGGTATCATACACTACACTAGGCTCTCTTTCGCCGTCAAAAGACAATGCCATCGTGATATGCCACGCCTTGAGTGGAAGTGCGGAGGTTGGCGTCTGGTGGCGGTCATTGCTAGAATACGGAGCTGGCGCAGCTCTCGATCCATCAAAGCACTTTATTATTTGCATGAACTGCCTGGGATCTCCCTATGGCACTGCCAGCCCCTTGACTGATAGGGACGGAGATGCATCATTGGGTCCTTACGGGCCGGACTTCCCGTTGACCAGCATTCGAGACGACGTTCGGTAAAACACGAGATTCACCACGACCCTTGCTAAAATATCGCTAACGTTTGCAAGACTTTTTCGCAAGGTCCTTGACCGCCTAGGAGTGGTACGAATCCAGTCAGTCATTGGCGGCTCGATGGGCGGAATGCATGTCTTGGAGTTCGCCCATTTTGGCACTGAATACGTCAAGAGTATTATCCCAATTGCAACATCTGCAAGCTACAGTGCATGGGGTATTGGATGGGGAGAAATGCAACGACAGTGCATATATATTGATCCTCGGTTCCGTACGTTTCGCCTGATGAGTTCCAGATTTCAGGGGGCAACTGAGCTTATTTTCACATCTTATCTAGGAGATGGACGCTATAGTCGTAATGATGTGAGATCTGTTCCCTCGAGAATTGGCACGCAGATTCTAATGTCAAAAGCCGCCTAAACAGGGTCTCGCAGCCGCTCGAATGGCCGCAATGCTTTCCTACCGAAGCCAGAAGTCCTTTCAAACCCGTTTTGGTCGCAAAGTGCACGACGGTGCAATTGAAACAACTGCGAAAGAAAGTCAACTTGCTCCGCTTGCTGTTCAATCTTACTTGCAATACCAGGGTACTAAGTTTGTCGACAGATTCGATGCTAATTGTTACATTGCACTCACACACAAACTTGACACGCATGACATCTCTCGTGATCGATCGCCGACCGTGCAAGACAGTCTGGCGACGATCAAACAGCCAGCGCTCATACTCAGTATTGAAACCGATGTACTTTTTACGATCGAAGAACAGTTGCAACTTCACAGATGGATTCCGAACTCAATCCATCGGGCCATAATTTCCGACGATGGCCACGATGGATTCTTGTTGGAGACGGACCAAATCAATCGGTTCATTGGGAGCTTCCTGAAAAGGTTAGACGGTAATGATCCGGTGGACGGCACGTCTCCTACCGGCAAAAGTCGGGGCCTGCTGAGGTCTGCATGGCAGTCTATTGCTACTAGCGCGTTGTGGATTGTTTCAAACTTGAATTTCCGTGGAGGAAGATGAAAGGAATCCATCATTGACCTGTTTTTCGTTTTTATCTTGATCTCACTTTCATCCACACAAGTTCACCAGCTTCGTGGACAATATTTGCTTCCCTGTGTCCTATTAAAGGAGCATTTCTGTCTGTATACATCCTTGTAAGAATCTCCATCTCACGATGAAGACAGACCGATGGAATCCTCAACCCTCCGATCTTCAATTTCACTTCTGATCACGTCATAGCCAGCACGTATTGCAGTCCAAGGAAAGAGAATACTAAACATTTAGAAACGGCCACCTTAGGAAATACAACGTTTCGAGAAGAAAGCAGACTCGATTCTTTCTCAAGCCTCCAGGCCATAGCACTCGTTCGTTCCTGACATGATGTCATGACCACTGATATCAATATACAAATTTGCACATCCTTAAGGCAGGGGTGTTGATGGAATTAATTTCGGTTGGCTTCGAAGTACTCATTACTTAGTTCAAGGTTTTTGATGACACCGAGGGCCTTCCCGACGGGTGTGATATCATTCTCAATCGTACCGCCCGCACTAAACAGATGCGTGGATGCTGTTTTCAAATTTGCAATTGGTCATTTGGCCACGGGAAAATGAATAGACCACGTCATTTCTAGCTGGTCAGAAATCACGCTGCAGTCTATACATCCTACTCAAGGATCTGATAGAAGTAAAAGTTGATGAGAGCAGGTCTAAACCCCAGGCTTGAGAAAGTGGTCATGAAAAACCAAATGCGTTGTGAAACATTCACAGTGATATTGAGGTCTAACAAAACAAAGCAAGTCTACTCCTCAGAGTACGGGTCCTTGTTCTCAGTCTCCTTCTCTATCATCTTCATCTGCGGGATGACAGTTCTCCATTGTTCGATGGATGAGATTCCATTGAAGTAGCTCATGGTGTTTGGGTGCGAAGCGCGCCAATCGGCGTCCAAGATCCACTCCATACCACGAGCCAGGTACATTGCCACAAAAAGATCGGCCAGGGTAAGGCAGTCGCCAACAAGGTAGACTTTCGATTCCAAAGCCTTCTCCAGCAGATTCAAAAGATGGATGGAAGCTGCTTTGCCATTCGCAACGGCTTGCTCATTGTATGGGCCTGGCTTTTTCAACCCAGGGATCAAAGGCAGAAACCTGCGTTCCGTTTGTGAATATTGACAGGACCAACGACGGAAGAGGCAAGACGTACCATGAAGCGAGAGTGCCTAACAACTCTTGATTCGCCCAGCTGGCCCATGACACGACCTCCGCAGCCTGTTCTTGAGACCCATCGCCAAGGAGTTTCGCGGCGTTGTGGACTTTGGCCAGGTACTTTAAAATCTCAGCAGGGGTTTAACGGACTTCTGTCGCAACTCACCGTGGTAATTGCGATGACCTCTGTAATTTTCACGGTGGGTGCTTTCAGTGCAGGGACCTTTCCTCGACTGAGGGGGAATTCGGAGATGTACGGCTCGGTGTTGATGTACATCCGAGGAACTACTCTTGAAAGATGCAGAGGAATTCCTTCGAGTGCAGCCTGGAGCAAGTCAATTCTCTTAGTCATGTAAGTGAAGTAAAGCCCAATCTTGACCTACCACAACGCGGATGATGCGGGTGCGCGGGTTACCCTATTGAACCATGATATTAGGCCATAACTATACGAAAAGAGACGTGGTCACTAAAAAGTCACGTACCTCGTAACCATATACTGTCAGTTCCATTCTGCAGAGTAATGCCCTGTCCAGCGGTCTTGAGGGATTAAGCGTGAAGATCGAAATTGGCAATTGCAAGTCAATTGAAGTCAATAATCTGGTTTGATAGGGGGGTACGTTGTTCAGATAGAGAATCGCCGATGACAAAAATTCAAAGTCTTTTAACTTGAGCTTGAGGTCAATGCCTTCCCCAAAGGTCCATGACAACAAGCTTAGTGTGTCATTGCTTGTGCCCCTCTGATCAGATTATGAATCAAGAATGTTCGAGACACCCCTCTCACCAGCCTTACACCTGGGAATCCGCGGGCCGAGCTAAGTCTGGCTTGTTCAAGGCCTGTAAAAACTCTTGGTAAGATTACTGAGCGAATGACATTTTTTTCCGGAACCCCTCTTTTCGTAACTTGTTGTTGCCAATTTCATCGATGATCATCACAAGAGGTAAATGGTGATCTCATAGGGAAGTCAAAATTGGATGACCAGCCCACTTCCTTCATTCGAAACTTGCCATGGGTAGTAGATCCCGACAGGGGTCTTGTCCGTCGGTGAGGACCTTGAAGATCTGACAAGGCCAGTGGGGCCTTCCGCCAGGGGTAACACCAAATCGAAGAGAATTTGCAGATCTCGCACCTTGGAAGTCAGCGCCCACTTACCGACGGCTGACGGGCGGCACCTCCCGCATCCGGGTTCAAGGTTGGTGGCCCGTTCAGCCCTCCAAGGAAATAGCCTTGCTGATGCCAATCACGCACGCTTACTCCCCCAAGGTACTTGGCATTAGTCTAGCGCATCTAGGTGCGGACCCACACGTTGTACTATATTCACGTTTGTTACCGAAAATCGTGAACCTCGAAAATGACAACAGGCATCATATCGGGAGCTGGTATTGCTTCGGAATTGTCGCTTGATTGAGAATAGTGTTAAACCCGATCGTTAGTTGCTAACCTCTTCAGACGCAAAGAGTCAAACAGCTCACAGTAGAGCGAAAGATCTAGCTAAATACCAAGCGATGAGAAATTAAAAAGCTAGCATAATCATTGTCTACAGCAAAGAGTCCAGGATACACTTTTGAACTGCCGTTGACAGCCCCTGAGAACAAGTTTTCGTGCGTCTGAAAATTGATTGATCCTTTCCATGGCGCCTACGGAGCCTTGAGGGTTCAAAAAGTAAGACTTTACGGCTTGAGAATTCCTGAACAAACTATAATTAAACAATTATAATTTAAACCGTCGAGCTAAATGTTCTCGTTCACTAGGCCCTCTCCGGATGAAACGATGTCTCCTTCCCCGTTGACATCCAACTGGTCTGACTGGTGTACATTCTCGCTTGCTACATGTTGACTCCGAGAGGCCTTCAGCGTATTTGCTTCGGCCAGCGCAGCTTGGAATGCTGCCAGCAAGGCACGTTTATCCTCTAGCCCAACCGACACTCGAACTATGGATTCGTGTAGACCACATTCACCGGCCCAAGCCTTCTGTTTGTGAAAAACGGTCTGAACATAAGGCTGAGCCAATGTCACAGGGGCACCAAGAGAAGGACCTTTGTGTACATTCAGTGCGTTGAAAAAGACACTTGCCAGTTCAACGTCATCGAATTCAATGGTAAACAAGCCCCCGTAGCCAGGAATGAACTCCTCAGTCGGCTGACGCATAAGAGCGCGGTAGTTGTTTGCCTGCGAGTCGAGCTTGGGGTGATATACATGTGTGACGACGCTCTTCGGATCATTGCATAAGTGCTCCAGAGACTCAGCTAAGTAGCCGGCGCTGTCATTGATGCGAGTTGTGCGCATTATGAAGTCTCTGCTGTTTTCCTCAAGCTGCTGCGCGTCGTCGCGGAAGAGGCAATTGCGATATCGGGCGTCGAGTGTATTCTTCCAAACTGCATAGTAAGGGGAAGAAGAATTCAAAACGATACTGCAAAAGAAGTCAGAAAGGTGGTTGTTGAACAAAATCCGATCATCAATTGTCTTACCTTCCAGCCATAACGTCAGCCGAGCCGCTAAAGCTCTTGGTCAAAGAGGTGACTAGGATATCGGCAACGCCCAGCACGTCGACATTTGCAAAGCCCCCGACAGTCTCATCGACTACAACGGCAGTGTTGAATTTGTCTGCCAGCGCGCGAACGTGCCTCAAATTGGCTGTACGTAGCAAGGGATTGGAAGGACATTCGCACCAGATAGCTTGTACCGGAGTTCCCGCAGCAGCCTGTTCAGAAAGATATCCCTCCAGTTGACCCAGGTCTGCTTCAGTGACAAAAGGAAAGAATTTTGCCCCGGGGCCGAAAGTCTCCACGAGCTTGAGAGTCAGTTCGTAAGGAAACCCGAACACCACAGATCGAGTTCCACGCCAATGAAGAAGCAGCTCATGCGCATGGTAGATTGCTGCCATCCCTGTGCTATAAAGATAGACATCATCGCGAGCTACGAGCTCCCCACGCGTGGTGCAACTTGGAGCTCGCTCGAGGAGATTTGCAATACGCTGACAAAGCTTGCGATGAGAACGCTCGGACCATCGACCAAGTACAGAGGGGTACTCTTTGCACTTAGTGTCACTAGTCACGTCGCGGATCGTTCGGACACGGCTGTTGAGAGTTTGAGCCAGGCGGGAGGAGATGCCGACACCGACCAAGCGCCAGAATGTGTGCAAGGGCACTTCTTGATCCTTAGGACAGAAGACGCCGTGAATGGTGACGCAGTTGTGCGTCATTCCCGTCTCGACCGACCATAGCTCAACCTCCAATGACCGAATGGACAGGATATCATCTGGCAGGGCCGCTTCCCCGTGGATTTCCTTTGAAGTCGCGAATTGACGACATGCGACAGCATATTCAAGGGTTGGGAAAAGAAAACATGTGTTGATTGGGTTGGAAAATTTCTCGAGGCATGCTTTGTTAAACTAAAAAGGTCTCCACGTCAGAACTCAAGCAAAGAATAACAACATGCATAGTTCACACCTTTTTGACTTCTTCGTGAATGAATGAGCGTGGATATCCAGTAAGCTGGGCGTTCTTCACTCGGGGTGCGCCGGTGAACATCTCTTTAATGTCATCCCATGTGGGCAGTTGAACGGAGACAGCGTGCTCAACGTTTGGCACGGGCTGGCCCATCGCTGGCGTGAGGGGCAGAGGATTCAACGATTGAAGATTGATAAGCATGTTGACCGATGGAATGAGCTTACTAGAAAGTGAAGGGTACGTGAAGAGAAGAGTGTTTGGCAAAGCAATAATGCTCAGTCTGGGCGTCGTATTGACCCTTTATCTCTTGCAAAGTCAGCCAAGTAATCGACATTCATCGTCTATCCTGTTTCTTTGTGGATGGGTGATTGAAATTTTCATGTAACGTATTGCGACATTGCGTATTTGTATAATCAAATAAGCTAGCATTGATTACTGTGGATAAAGTTGGTGTGGAGAATCTTTAAAGTGGACTCGGAGTTTCATTGTCAAAAGTACATTTGGGGTGGATTCTCAAGCCAGCACTTTTGGAACATGTTCATCAGTCTCTGAGGGTACTCAACCTTTTTGATGGACAGAAGTCTAGGCTAGGAGCGTGACATTGCGATGAGGCATTTTTATTCATGTCAGATGATTGATTGGAAATCAGCCATGTGTGAATATTCGAGATCTCAGCTTATTCCGGGACATGGATATTTGAACAACGGGCAAGACCCTATTTGCACCGCAGTATCATCTTGAGCTTCAACTTTGACTGGAACGACAAGATTGACAGATTCTTTGCCATTTCCATTGATTCGCAGACTTTCAGCATGGCGAACTGTGAAAATGTGCTCATTGTCGGCCATGACGTTTTGGCATTTTCGACGGCTTTGGCCTTGTCTTCGCGCCGCCCGACCACTCAAATCGTGGTGGTATCACCAAATGTCCCTTTCAAAGGCCAACAGGCCCGACTTGGTGGTGATCTTCGACTTTTGCGAAATGGGTATCACCCTGAGATAAAGCCGGACTTGGTCACTCAGACACACCGCGTCCTATGCCAGGATCAAGATTTCCGAAACTTCGTGTATCGTCGCGGTGAAATCTGTGCACTCATGAGAGGCGACGTCAAAGGTGAAAGGATTATGGACGAAATGAAGACCGCTATTGGTCCGGAAGCCTCAAAAGGCATTCCAAAGCTCCTTTCTTACACTGAGGCTATCCGTGGAAAGCTTCCACCCTCCACTCCAGCGACAATTCAAAATTCAGAAATGCCAGACTCTTGCTGGCAGGAGGCGATCTTCGACCCATCTTCGGCCATGGTTGATATGCTTCAGCTTTTATCAATCCTCCACCGTCGGTGCCAAAGTCGATCCAACATTACATTCCAATTCGGCGATGAACTCGATGGTCCTATTGTTAAGAGTAATGTATTTGAAGGACTGAGGCTAAGCGACGGCTCTGAGATTCGAGCCTCAACGGCTGTGGTGACTGATGCTCTGCTCAGCCAGAAATGGTTTGGGGACTCGTTAAGCTATACAGCCGTTGGTTACGACGTCGCGTGGCTCCAGCCATCCGACTCACTCGTGACAAAATACAAAGACATGCCCGTCCTGAGCAATCTCTCAACCGGCTTTACTATCTTCCCGCCCATCGACGGTGCATTTAAGTGCACGCTGGAGATGAACAAATATGGTCACCTGGATGCGTCGAACAATGATTCATTTGCTTGGTTGCTTTCTTCCAGTGTTGAGCGGGAGATACGACGTAACATGGCAGATATTCTACCGGAGCTTGCCGATCAGCCATTGGTACGACCAAGATTGGCATGGAATGTGACACCAGACAAACGTCAAAGCACTATTTACCGTGTCCCGCAGTGCAGCGGGCTAATCGTTGCCACTCTTCCATCCATCATTGAGCCGCAGGGAGTAGTACTTGGCTCGAAGTTGGTTGAAGAAATAGATCAAGTCGCTCTACTAGACATGTCCCATAAGCTCAACTTGGCGGAAAACCCCCCTATTACTGATGACCTAGCATTCCACAAGCCCATCGTGATCGTGGGTGCTGGTGTCTTTGGGCTGACAACAGCCTTTCATCTTGCACGGCGCGGTTACAAAAATGTCACTCTTCTTGACCGTGAGCCATATGACCAGACTGGCTACAGCAGCCACGCAGCCAGTGCCGATCGGAACAAAATTATTCGCGCCTCCTATGGACCCCAAAAGCTGTACGAAGACCTCGCATTCAAAGCCCTTGATACATGGGAGCAGTGGAACGCACGTGTTCGCAGCGAGAGTGAGTTGCCGGAGTTTGTTTCGTCCAACGATCTCCTTTGGGATAATTGTGGATTTCTGCGCGCTGGGGAATTGACCGGTTTGGATCCGGAAGAGACCGCAACCCAGGACAGCTTCCCAGAAGCTCTCAAAGACACCCAATATCGATTGTCAGATGATTCTCGAAAGAAAGATGCCCAACTGAATGGAGTGTCCCAAGCCAAGCTAGATCCCTTCGATCGATCGCGGCGAGGACTCGGCATGGATGGCATCTTCGATGCAACCGGGGGATATGTCTCTGCAGATAAGTCGTGTTCGTGGGTCCTCCACCTTTGTCAAAAGTTGGGAGTGCGAACCAGGCTTGGCAAGCAATACGCGTTCCGTGACTTCGATCGCATGAATTCAAAGATCATTGGTGTCAAGACCGGTGAAACTGGTATACTATTCCCTGCAGACCTGGTTATTGTTGCCGCCGGGGGATGGACTCCATCGATCGTTCCGCAGGTCGCCGACCTTCTCCAGACAACGGCCGGCAGTGTGCTCAAAATTCAACTGCCACCTCAGAACGAGCGACCTGACCTGTGGAAGAAGTACCATTCATCAGAATTCCCTTGCTGGTCGTGGCGCCTTACAGGAAGCACGTTGCAGGGCACCGAGGTGGGTGGTATATATGGTTTTCCTCGCACCCAGGACGGCTTGATCAAGATCGGCTTCCGTGGAACAAAATGGTCAAATTTGGCATACAGCAATGCAGAAGGGCGCCTGGTATCGTACCCTGATACCAACGCAACGGGTCTACCGACCAAAGCAATGAGTAAGATACGTGAATTCTGCAAGGAGAACATGCCAGATCTTGTGGGGCTTCCGCTATCCACCCGCTTGTGCTGGTACACGGATTCTGTGGACAGTAACTTCTTGATTGACCGTGTGCCAGGAAGTGAAGGGCTGATGGTTGCAAGTGGAGGCAGCGGACATGCGTTCAAATTTTTGCCTGTTCTTGGGGAGCATGTTGTCGATCTTGTTGAAAGAAAGGTCACAGGCTACACTGATCTCTTCAAGTGGCGTGATCCATCCACTACAGGCGAGCAAGCTCCGTTCAATGCTCCATCTGAGAAGTGGCCTGCCCTGTGTCGTGACGACATGTCGTGTAGCTGGAACTGACTAAATGCCTTTCTGCCTTACGAAGGTAAATCAAGCATCAATAATAGACTGCCAGTGGCGTTTGCCAAGCTAGACGGCCGAGCGCATCGAATATGTAGCAAGCAATTGCGGAGACTAAGGCATCCTACATATTATACGTAGAAATTCATTTCCGTCTAGATCAACCCATTCTGATTGTGGTAGAGTCTTCACATGCTGCGTAACGTAGTGAGAGAATACTACAGCAGATCTTCGCAAATGGACATCTAGATGTTCGGTTTTCCCTCAGGATTCGCGATCTATTCCACGTAATGAAACGATGTTTTCCAATTTTTTTGTGTTGTGATATGAGGCTGGTACAGATCAGGACCCAAGCCGAACCATCGGAATTAATGCCGAAGTATTGAAAACGAAGAACAAAGTTGATTAGAAATTGGATTTCAAGGCTGCCACCATTACTCTACGCACAAGGCAGTTACAGGGACCACACATAGCTGCACCTACCATCATAGTTAGAAAATAAATTATCACACCTGTACTTCAACCCAGCGTCTCAACTTCGCAAAGCGATATGTAGTATACGACAATCATAGATCTTGGCTATGCACATATAACAAGATCCACTTCTTGACAGAGACTTAGAGAATCGTCACGGCCTGGACGGTCTGCGCCCTTGAGACGACGTCTGGTTTACCTTTCTCACATTCCTTTGGGCCTCCCAGCAGACTGGGCACGCCGTCAAGCGCGTCCCCAAATTTTCTTTTCAGTTCCGTTCGCAGCTCTTGTAGCTTTAGGCAGTTACCAACACATGCATGACTGTCTTCTGCGCGCCGCATTCGCGCCGGTCATCATCACAGTAGTCAATCTTCTTTCGGTAGCTAGACAGCCAGCTGTGGCCCGTGCGCAGCTGTGTGAGCAGGTACGCGCGATTCCGAATTAAATTCCCGTAAAGGATCTTTGTATACCGGGCTGGTAGGTCGCTGCCAATTTTCTGTAGACGTGCCCCTTTCGTGCTCGGCTTCCACTCTTGGCTCTACTGGGCAAGGATCTTGCTGCGGTTGTATTTGTAGGCGTGCTCCCTGGAAAGTAGCGGCCGGAAGGGGTGCGATTTTCCTGGCTGCGCAGCCTCCTTTGCCGGTTTATCCGCCACGTCGTTCCCTGCGTTCTCGCGAAAGCCCCGGCATCCACTGGAGGCGGAGCCTGATGATCGCGCTTGGCACCTCACTGGCTACCTGGTTGGTTGGAAGAACAATTCTTTGTCTCGACTTGCTTTTGACGTTTGGCATGGATTGTATAGCTGATCTGCTGTCACATAAGATTGTCGCTGATAGTGGTGTTCCCTCCTCGGCATTTGAATTTTGATGCGCTAGGCTGAACATCATGTCGACCGTGTGGACCAAGTTACATGTATTTGCCATTGAATCAAAACAGGCTGTCTTTGCGATCTCTCCATGAAAACTTGAATTTAGCCTAAGAGCTTGCCTTCCTCCCCCAACTTCGTTTCAGCTCATTTTTCCTAATTGCAGTTGAGATCAGGATTTTTACCATTGACCCAAAACTTCACATATCTATCCCCCAGCAAATTAGCCTGGGAGAATTTGAAAGAGGGAAAGCATCTAGGCGGATCGTCTCTCTGTCTTCAAGACTCTGACTTCTCATAAAGGGCTGCTCACACTCTCTCCGTAGGGAATTACCTTGGTGAGTTGGAGAGCATCACAAAGAGCCCGTCAAGCGAGTTGCATTTGACAGGAAGTGCATCGAAGGTGAGGTTTGATTATGTGTCATCTCGAATGCTCTCGCAGCAGCGAGAGTATTCTGACAAGTACTATAGAAGGTCCATTGGATACAGCCAGAGAGTTCAGTGGTATAGACCTTGCAATCTAAAACAGTACACATGGCATTAGCAAATTCTACCACAAAGGCATCTTTTCCAATCCTCTTCCCTTTGTCGCCGTCCGTTCATCCAAATTTCACGACGCTGTGCCCACCATAGTGACTCTTTATTTCGTCACTTAGCATGAGATCTGCTAGGGTAACTTTATGCTGGCTTATCATTTTCTGTGATGGGAACAAAGCCACCTTCTCTCCTCCCTTGGACAATTTTGCGTGATTTACTCGTGCAAGGCATTTTTGAATTCTGTCGAGGATTGCTTGGTTCATTGAGTTCCCGGACTTATTGGGGGCCTGTGGCTAATTGAGCGATCTTGGCAGGCTGGAGAGGGTTTCGAGTATTCTTCTTCCTCCTCTTCCTTCTCCTCCTCCTCCTCCTCCTCTTCTTCTTCTTCTTCTTCTTCTTCTTCTTCTTCTTTTTCTTCTTCGGTTGTTTCTTTGAGGAGGCATGTTCGGAATTTGCACTGGAGTTCGACGGGAGGGACCTTAGGGAGAGGTCAGCAGGGATAAGCTGAGGCGAGGAGAGACGAGGGACGAGCTGAGAGGTTGGGGGCCTAAAGTCGTTTGGCACAGATGTTTAATAGGCAGTTGCCTCTGTGCTAGCAAATCGACGAGGAACCAAGTATTCCAATTTCATTAAGCCTCATTGGCACTATCGCAGCAGCAACGTCCTGCCCTGTTGGCTATCTCCACAAACGAATCCAATTCAACATGTCAAATCAAAAGAAAACATTCAATAGCTAAAAATTCTCTACACTACTTCGAGGATGGCGTTACCTTTCCCACATTCTTCACTCAAACACGAATGATTTTCTACGAGTTCCCGGGCCAATCTGGTTTCTGTTGCCGGTGTGCTAACAAAGGTTCAGAGGCCTGATCCCTGTGAATGTACTCAAGACATTAACAATCCTTGTGCGTTATATCGGAGTTTTGTCGTAATGCAGATTTGAGTGTACATAAAAACGTTCCGATGCAAGTCACACATCTGATTTCACCACAGGAATGTCTCTGAGCCCGGGAATTGTGACCAAGCCCAAATCATTTGACTCAGTTGAGCCAAAACTCGGCTTTAGAGCCGCTTTGTCCATTACAGTAGAGTGGGACGGGACAACTTTAAATTTGATAGATGGTATGGCGTCCGGTACCCAGCATTTAGACCTGCCCGCTTTGATTGTTCTTCTTCAGCATTTGCTAAGAGTATTAGAGGTTCAGTGTTCATATTATAGCGTAGTACTACGCCGCCAATTGCTCCCTTTTCTTGTGTTGCTGCAAGCCTGGGGGCTGTTATTCAAATTCTGTTACCAAATTTCAGCCAAGAAATGCCGTCTGATAAGCGTGGTATATCTGCATTCACTCTTATGCTGAGAACGTACATCAATCCAGTCAACTATTTAGAATGCATTCAAAGATCATTAAATGATCACAAAATCCCGCATCGTCTGTTTGTTTACCATCACAAAAGCCCTTCCAATTTGCACTTGCTACTTTTCTCAATCTTAATATTGCGAACAGAGTGACCAGGAAACGAGGAATAGATATTACAGGTGCAGATGAGTTGGATAATGATAAACGAATACGACTTGTAGTCATGATTGATCGACTGCGAGAATTGGGCATCAGTGAAAATTTCTCACTTCAGGTAAGCAAGTCAATCGGGGTTTGGCGTGTTTGTTGGCTAATCAATCGTAGCTTGTAGTAGTTGGCGATCAACCGAGTGGCAAGTCATCCCTTTCATTCCCTGTGGCTAGCGCCCTCTACACAAAGTTCGCCACCCAAATTGTCCTTCGCCGAGCATCAGATGGGGAAGATTAAGCAAGGATCACAATTATTCCAGGACCATCTTCGCGACTCAATGAAGCATTGAACCAAAAGCTTTTGGCCCTCGAAAAAGATTCTGTCCACTACGAATTTCAGTCGTCAAGATTTCGAAGGCATTTTCGAGGTCAGAATACTAAAGCGTTCGCTATTGGGACAGGTATTGACTTGAGAATAGACTGCTAACTGTATGGGGATACCGGGGCCGAAAACGAAGAATCTAGGAGATGTTGAGAAAAGGTTCTCGGATGATATCCTCAGGATTAAGCTCTCAGGTCCAGACCATCGACACATTAGTGTTGTGGACGTTTCGGGCCTCTTCCACAATAAGAAGACTATACGATATTTTGATCAAGTGGCTGACCTTGATACAAGATCCGACCAAATTTCAAACTGAAGAAGACCGTGCAATTATCCGAGGATTATATGACTGACGAGCGTACCATTATACTGTAAGTAAGTCCGTTTCAGAAGACGAGTACGGATCTCTGCGGGGCTTACACGCAAGACCAGCGCGGTTATGGATGCACGAAGCAACTTTGCGAACCAGGAAGTGTAAGGAAATTAGCTCTGGTTTGATATCACGAAAGTACTCACTTATACTAGCTTCTCCATGACACGTGCCGTCGATCCAGCAGGAAAACGGACTGTTGGAATCGTCACCAAATGCGATACACTGCAGGCAGAAGATGAAGCTGGGTAGGCTCCTAGTCATATCAGGCTTATAGCTTTACTGATCACTCCTCGGGCGTGTCGCTAAAAATGAAGTTGAGCGCCTCACTCACGGTTGGTTCGCTGTGCGAAATCGTTCCACACAGGATATTAAAGAAGGCGTTTCAATCGAGGGCCGGCATCAAAGGGAGATAGCCATTTTCTCAACGATTCGGCCGTTGACTGAGCTAAAGAGAGATCGACTTGGTATCAAGGCGTTGAATTCATTTCTTGGCCATCTTTGATACGACCACATACGCTCTGAAGTTCCTGCGGTCGTGGCCGATATCGAAAAGCTTTCACTGGAGACGCAAAAAGAA